GGTGCCATGCGCGGGCAGGCTCCGTGCTGTCGGGAACCCTGCTTCCTGTAGCTGAAACCGCGATACAGGGAAGGCAGGCACGCATTGCCCTCTGTTAAATCCGCACCGAGTTGAAGTAACAGAGGGAGGCGCTTTTGTGTCTGGACTTCAAGGACAGGCGGAGTAGAATTTTCAGTCCTGAAGCATAAGTCTGCTTTTCAGCATGAGCTGAGCAAGTTTTTCTGAAAATGCCCAGCAGCCCTTAAGAACTGTATACAACTGGACATTGACAGTCAGAGATTCCATACTTATGGATCCAGAGTAGGACAGTAGCAAATGGAACATACTTAAACCTTCCCCTGCTAATTGTGGCCCACTACTAATTAATCATAACTAAACTCATTAGTCAAAGCAACTACTATTTAGTTTCCTTTTTTTTGGTTGCACAGCAACTAGCCAATTAGAGCAGTGTTAACCTACACTAGGATAATGAAGGTAGAAATGCATTGCCACAGGCATTTCAGATTATGCTAATTTAAGAGAGATAAAATGCAACATTTTTGGTCATTGTAATATTTCGTTCAGGCAAGTTAAAAATTAGAGGGGGTGCAAAAGGTTTGGGTAATGTGGAGAACAGATGGAATTATGCACAGGATTCACAAAACAGAACACACTTGAGAAAATACTGCCCATTGGGGTTTTTTATTCCCTCTTAAACAACTTCTAATAGAAAAGGATTGTATACAAGAATACTCCTGTACAGAAATCCTTATATCTACCAAACAATCTTGCTGGATATTCCAAATGGTTGCAAGAATCTTAATAAGCACAGGAACATAAATCACCTTCTGCATCTATCAAAATTCTCACTTGGGAAACAGTGGCATAAAAAGTTAAACTAATATTGTAAATTAGATGTTTACTGTTCCTGGAAGATTATTCTTTGATCACAGGTAAGAAAGAAATCGTTGTATAAAAATGTCATTTAAAATCACAATACTGATAAATTCCTACAACACTGCAATTCTTAATTTAATTCAGTATAGGATCCTGCAATCTGTCACTAGACTTACCTGTGATGTAACATTAAAAATATGTCTACATGGTTGGTTTTGGCTTAGTTTTGAGGCAGACCTCAGCTCACTCTTCCTGCAGTCCAAAGAGGTGGGAGGCCAAAGAGTTTTGATCTGAAAGTGCTGTGCTCTGTGCAAGGTTTGAGTGCACTGCCTTCAAATCAGAGCTAGCCAGTATCCTCATACCTTGGAGCACAGCGAAAGCTTGAACAGTCTATCCGTAAAAAAAAAAAAATTTAGTCACATATGCAATGTCCTTCAAAAATGCACCGGTATCAGAAAGGGTCATCCACTCTGATTTTCACCCACAAAACAAGGTAAAGCATGCTTCTTACACAAGTTACCACTTAAAGTGCTCTATTAGCATCTGCTGCTCCCTTGATCTGCTTCTAAGCAGTTGTCCAAGTAACAATGTTAACCCAACCAAATACTGAGTGTCAGCTCTTCAAAGCAAAACAAAAGCTTCGCATGCCTGCTTTATGCAGGCAGAGCAAAATGTGTACCTACCATTTACAACATAGTTTTTGAATAATCTCTTGTTCCTTCTATCAAATAAAATAATCACAACCTGTATTACGTTCTTTAGCTGCTGTCAAGGTAGATTTAAGTGCCATCTGCACAGCTGGAATTATTAAAGCTCAAAATAACAAACAGGAGAGGACATAAACTGATATCACATCACAAATACTTCACTGTTAAGCATCTGTATGCTGCAATTACTAAGATGGAGCAGCAATGCACGCCTTTGCCATCAAGAGTGTATAATCTCAGGAAACTGCAGAGAAAACAGCCTGTACATTTTGAAAGGTAAAACAAACATACAAGGAAACACCTGAAAGAACAAATCAAAGCCCATCCTTGTAGGGTAGTTTCATAATAGTCTCTGAAGTCACGATTTGGAGATAAGCTTATTTTGTGATCTAAGCTTCACAGTCAGGCAGATCTTCTCTCCCCACCTCAAAAGATTCTTTGCTGATTGACAACAGTTCACGCAGCTCTTTGTTTTCAAGCTGCAAAATCAATATTTTTGCTGAAATAGAAATGAGCTAATTCACAATTAAAGGACTATAATAGTAATGAGCTAAGTCACAATTGACAATCTTTCAATAGCCCCACTCCCTTCACAGCTAAATAAAACACTGATTTTGTAACATAAGGATTAATACAGTGCTAGCAAGAGGGGAACCACATCATTTAAACCTTATCTTTTGCTTCTGGCTTCATATATATAACACAAACATCAAGAACTTGAAAATGAACAGATCATGTTCTGCATTTCCTGACCCCACCCCCAAATTTTTTATTGTTATAAATCCTTTATACATACAAACATAAAAAGTCCAGATTACCCTGGAGAGTCTAGAGACTCCCAAAGCTTGATCTATCCTTAGCAATTGTTATCTGTTCTTACCTCCAACTGAGCTAGTTTCTCCTGAACTTTAAAGAACTGATCATCATCAGCTTGAATAGCTTTTCTCATCACCTCTCCCATCTCACATATTTTGTCTATTTGACTTTCAATTTCCTGAAAGACATAAAGTAACATATTCAATATGTTCAGGCAAAAGCAGCAGTAAAAATTTATCACTTCTAAATTAATTGCTTTAATTTTCTTTAATTATTTTCCTGTTTTGAATTTTAACCCTTTCTTCCCAAGCACTTGCAATTCTTTCTAATTTGTATAATATTTAAAGACAAAAAACATGTATCTTTTTGTCCTTTATCATGACTCATCAATGAAAACAGTGAACAAAATTACAGTCAGCAAGACAAGGTACCCGTACTTACTAAGATGGAAATAATTTCAAGTGTGACAAGGACTGAGACAACAGGTTCAGGTTCATGTGAATGATTAGTATGCAGCAAATTTTATATTGTTTTATTAGAAAAGCCTCACTCTGAACTTATAAGAATGCTGGATGTAAAAGCAAATGAGATTTCACGACTAACTAGTCTTGAAAACTACTCTTGATTTCAAGACTAACTAGTCTTCACTAGTGTGAAGTAAACAGCCTCATCTTAGAAGGAAACCAAGCAAGGAAACTAAAATAAATTAATATCAGAGCCTCCTGAGGCAGTTTTTACAGAATCTGTCTAGATACAGCTCTAATCCTTTGGAAGATGCATTTTGTTGAAGTTCAGAAATTCACATATAATGAACGCTGAAAAATTCCAACAGGTAATGTAGTGATCGTTCCCATGTGAAGAGCATTCCATTTCAAAGTACAGTATTTATGGAGAAACGCCAATGAGCAAACATTAAAATGTCAGTAATTGGCAAGAAGTAGCAAGACAAGAATTTGGAAGCTTTTGAAAGACTTTAACATAACGTAAAAATATAACCACTTTGGGGAATATGAGATAATGTTACAGGGTAGAGTTTCTTTTCTTTAAGTGTAAGTAGTTATTCCCCTGCCGCTGGTAGATAAATGTATCACCAGAGCAGAGAATTCAGCTTTGAATTCCATTATTCAGAAATTATGTAAACAAATTAGAGCATCTAGAAGAGAGCTGGAGGAACAAGAAAGACTTAGATAATTTAATCTGGGAAGAAATTTTTTTTTTTTTCTAAACAGAAGGATGGGTATAATAAGAATATAGCTCTTTAGAAGATATTAAAAGGTTGTTATTATTCTGTGGGTAGGAAAAAACTCATGGACTTAATCAGAGGTACAGCATATTTTGCCTAGATATTGAGATAGTCTAGGTACATTCCATCAAAGATTCCTCCAGAGTTTCTTCAGCTTTGCTTTTCCATGCCATTAAAATGGAGCAAAAGCAGTGCCCGAGAATAATGTCATTAGTTTTGTTCAAATGTTAAGTTTTGATAAACAGCAATTCATGCACCTAAGCAAGCACTGAAAGCAAGATATTACTACACTACTTAACTTCAGAAGACCTAAGCAACACAAAACAGAGGACTAATGAGTTGCCATATATCAGTGCAAAGATATTTGCAAAGAGTTAGGCTGGCTCCAATTCCAATTCAAAAAACACAAGATGAGATGTCACTAGGTTGAACCAGCTTGCTGTTCTCTAATCACATAAAAATGCACTTTAACAAATGCCTAACTTAATTCATAAGCCTTAAATAGAGACTTAAGTGTTATTATATTGTTATTAGACACCTAAACATAAAACAGGCAGCAGTTATCAGTAGGCAGACCTTAAGAGTTCTGAAGTCATTGCACCCAACATGAACAAAGGGACACTTTTAGGCCATTGCAGAGAGTATCTGGATTTAAAAACATTTGGGAGTGATGATTTCTCAAGAATTAAACATAATGCAGCTCACAAAGATTTAGGAGGTTCTTCTCCCTTTCTTGCAATTACTGAACAGGAAGCACAACTCTGATGTCTTTGATTTTACTGTGGAGAATGATGTGCATTAACCTTAAACCAGGGAATTTACCACCTAGTGCATAAAGAACAAGCCTTCACCTGGGCTGTGAAAGGGTTACACTTTTCAGTGTCCTCTGTGACAACTGTTACACCCGTGTGCTGTAAAAGGAACAGAGAAAAAAATACCAGCAAAGAGAGACAAGAGTTTCAGAAACTGTATTTTGGAGCAGAGACGTTCAGTGAATGGAAACAAAGTTTGTATGAAAGCAAGCAAAACACAGGGAAGAGGGATCTTGGGCCCTTTCTGTCCCCATCCCACCTTACCAAGGAATTAGTCTGATGAACTTGCAAGACTGGTTCTGCATCTTCACCTTTTCTCCCCTGCAAAAGCTGTAACATCTGTTTTCTGTATTTGCTCATTATAAGCTCTAATGCACCTTGGTGCTCCTCCAGAGAGATCCATAGCTCTGCAAAATACAGTATGTCATTACCACAAACTACAAGCACTTTTTCACAGCAATGATGGGAGATGCTCAGAGGTACTCGGTACCAGCTGCTCGCTTGATTCGTGCTACCCCACCACTCCCCTCCACAGCACAGCCCTGGGACGCGGGCCCAAGGCTGCTGGCTCTCCAGACCCCTCGGTCAGCCGAGAAGCCGTCCTGACGCCAGTAGTCACTTGCACACCGAGGCATCCAGTGACGCCGACAGAAGGTAAAACAGCTGCACTCCCCGGTCCCCTCGAGAAGCCCCCTAGCGCCTAGGCCCCCAGC